AGTGGAGTGGAGTGCGTGTACCCACGATCAAGTCTTATTATTCTTACTACGAGTATGTTGTTGAATGAGATAAAGTGACATTGGCAGTGACAGTGTAAGTTTCTTTGTGTATTTTTTCATGATGTAATTCGAATGTTATGTATGGGTGTGTTCTCAGCTCACGTGCAAGGCCTATTAGTTGCACCCCAACGCTTTGGTGAGAAGTTTGTTGCCAATAGATACCACGCGCATACACGCACACATTCGTAGAAGGACGGCACTTTCGATCTGGGAATTTTAAACACGATGTGAGACAGCCCCCGCAGGCGCCGTAGCTTACGTGAAGCACGTGCTTATGTTTACTACTGTACGAACATATACTGTCGACGTGCCTCTTACTGTTATACTTCTATCCGCGGTCGTACTACAAGGGCTCGTCTGATCTTGTACCAATCGACGCGCTCATTGATTTGGCGTTACTTGCGGCTGACACATCACTTATCAAAAAAAACAAATATCTACACACAGCTCGTAACGCTGAAGTGCTCCCGGTGCCGGGCCAGTCTGGGTCATACTTTATCCAACAACCAATTAGATACGCCATCAGCCGCAGAAGAGGGAATAGCAACAGATACAAATTTAGTCAGTAGCGAATTGGAACCGCCGACGGTTAAAAACAACCAATCAAACGCTACAACCACGGAAGGGATCGACATTAGTCTAGACACGGATGTCTGTTCGGAGAAGTCCCCCACAACGCAACATGTGGAGTCGACCGACTCAAAGAGTACACCAACTGATCCGCTGACTACAAGAGCCCATGAGGTTACACACAGGCGCATATGCAAGTGTAGTCACACACCTACACATACACATTCACCCACCCGCGCAAACCCAGGCAGCCCATCACGCACGAGCATGTACACGCACACGCACACGGGCACACAGGGAGAATCACACACGTGCAAAAGCACGAACACGCCCACGAATACAGACTCGTCTTCAGATCAGTCTGTGTGTGTGCAAAGGAGTGAGCGACTGCAATCCGCTAAGGACAGTAGCCGTGTGCCTCCGCAGCTTCAAAGCGAAGCAACGTTCTACCGCGATATGGTGACGACAAGCAATGCGACACGAACTGAACGGTACGTATGTGCATATATAAATACACGCGATACGTATAAATAAAACCATATGTTATTATTGTTACATTGTTATATTATTATATTATTATGTTATTATATATATATATATATATATATACATGTATGCATCTATATCTACATATATATATATATATATACATGTATGCATCTATATCTACATATATATATATATATATATGTGTGTGTGTGTGTTTGTATCAGTTGGTGGTGCTGAATTAATTAATCCAAACGTAATTATCATTCTGTAGGTGTAAGGTAGTATTATGATGTACTTGGTCATTGTTTATGTACGTAGAGGCCACGTTCTACCACCATCCGATGACGACAAGGACAAAATCGTGAGCTGAACAGTGGTTTTAAGCCTACTTGAGTTCATGTTGGTACATATAAAATTATCATGTAGTCACGAACAAAACTAAAGTATAATTATCTGCAACTATTTACGACACACTTGAACCCATAGACAAGCCGAAAAGGTGTTTACATTGACACACAAGCTGCTAGAAACGGCCGAAAGAGAGGTCACATATCGCCTCTCGATACAGATGGAAGACGCACCGACTGAGGAACCAATTCTACTGGTAAGTTTCTTATTTTAACGGTTTATAGCTACACGTTTAGAACAAAAAAAAAGCGAATTGAATTATTGGGTAAATAGTCAAACGCCTGAGGAATACATGTTTACAACAATGACAGTAAAGTGACTAATTTGAGGAGACAGAGCCAAGTTGATTGAAATATATATAACATATGACAAAGTAAATAATATACAAGGAGCGAATACATGTCGTTAACATTGTGCACTTATGACTTCAATCCGCGCACATTGGTTCGTGTTTGTGTTGTTTAATCGATTAAAGTGAGTCACTTGCGAAGTAGTAAGTATAGCATATTGTTCAACTGTTAGCGGACCTGTCCATATACTCCGACATTCGTATTCA